GATTAGCTACATATAGAAAGATGTGTAATTCAGCATTTCACCTATCACAACAAAACTTTGCCAAAATATAGCATCAAATTATTATAAATAGTGTATGTCCTTACATCGGTTCATATTAAGCATTCAGTACATGGTTTGTCCTCCTCGTACTCTAATAACCTTCGTGAGGTGACTTGACATGCTGTCGATGAGGTTATTGATGTAATACATCTTGACTCCATCCCAGCTTGCCACTAGAAGACGCTGCAAGTCTGCCACAGTAGCTGGTTTAGGATCGTGGTTAGCAATTTTCCGGCTCAGTTCTACCCAAAAGTTCTTAATGGGATTACAATCTAGAGCCCTTGCTGGCCATAGCAATCTTGTAACGTCGAGATAATCCTGCACAACATGCGCAATAACACAAAGTTATTGCCAAACCTTGCCCTAGCATATGGCAGAAATGTCTTCTCCATGTGATGCCTGTAAGAGGCGCCATTGACGTTTATCTGGAGGATATAAAGAGCAGTTTTTCAACCATGATGAATAGCTGCCCATCTTCTGTGTGTCCTCTGTGAGAAAGACAGTATTCCTTTATCTGTTCTACAGGTAAATGAAGAACACGAATCCTACCATCAGCTTTAACAAGCCGGAAACGGGACTCATCTGAAAATATGACACGTTGCCAGTGTCCTAACTGTAAGTTGACATGCTGTTTTGTCCAAGTCACACGATGACGGTGGTGAATTCTGGTTAATATCGGTTTGCAGATAGCACTTCTTCTAAAATAACCTTATTTGATCAGTCTCCTATTCACTGTTCTTCTGGATACCCTGGAATGAATGTATGCATGCCATTCCTGTCGTAAGATGTTGCAAGACTTCCTTCGACCTTGGCGTGTTATCTTGATCAAAACACGGTCATCTCGGGCAGTAGTTTTTCAACGTCTACCAGCAGAATTTCCTGGAAAACGTTTCCTGATGACGTTTCAAGATTCTAGATACAGTACACTGGGGGTGCCCTACTGTTCTTGCAATGTCCGTTTGCTTCGTACAATTTCTGGACAGTCGAACAATTTGATGCCCTATAACAACTGCTTCTGGCACGTGATGAGGCATGACTCTACATCAAGTACAGAGAAATTGTCTGAACAAAGCGCTGATCTGTTTCGAAAAAGATTATACCAAAAGCACGCCCTTTTATACAAAGCAGGTGCGTATGTATGTGTTTTGATGAACAAATACTTAGAATAACTTATACAAACCAGAATAAAAACTCGTATATGTTTTCCGATCACACGCTACCTTCTCTGTTATTACTCAATAACCCTCTATGACATTGAAACGAAGTAAAGGTTTCCAAAGAATTGGTCACGAGAGTTTTCTAAGCGATAAAACCATTAGATATTTCAAACCTAATCAAGTTATTTACTTATAGAAGTATCCACGATGATAAATTTTAGAAAGTGTATCTTAGGTTAAATAAAATTTCACTCAAAAAAAAAAAACAAACAATAAAAACTTACATACCCTCAGATTCTACAGTTTTTCAGCAGTGTGTAAGTTGTGATCAAAGTACGCTATCTACGAAGACCTGAGCTGATAATTCACCCAGTAAATAACGTAACATTTAATATGCTAATGTTGCTAGGAGTTCACAATGTCACCAAACAGAAATTAATAATTTAGAACTAGCTTATTTTCGGATTTACAGCGTTTCGCCAGTTTAACTTGGCATCATCAGGTACAACAAGTGGCAAACATTTTCTACATAACAGGGTACTTGTTTTAATTATATTTATTTAGAAACTAGCAATGATTAGAATGCACGGATTCATTGGGTACATTCGTTGCTATCAGCATTTGCTCCCCCCCCCCCCAGTGGCACTTCACTTACAACGCTAGAAACTGGATTTCGATACCCGTGGTGGGCAGAGCACGGATAACCCTTTGTGTAGCTTTGTGCTTAATAAGAAACAAAATTTTCAGTATTTTCGGCCGTAATCCCAATAGCATTTCACGGCTAGCTTAGGAGATATACGTTAGTCCTAATCCGTATACGAATCTAACTGCGAAATAATTCTCGTAAACAATATCAAAATGATAAAACCATTAGTTATATTAAACATTTTAAATAGTGAAATAATGAAACTAACATTAAATAAAGAATGGAATACAACAATATTAGTTATATTAAACATTTTAAATAGTGAAATAATGAAACTAACATTAAATAAAGAATGGAATACAACTATATTAGTTATATTAAACATTTTAAATAGTGAAATAATGAAACTAACATTAAATAAAGAATGGACTACAACTAGCCTTAATTACTAACATCGTTATTTAAAGCATTAGGTAGATTACATTTGCGAATCTCGCGAATATGGTTGAACGTACATAGCGTTAACTTTCTCCTGAGTTACATTTGTTTTCTGAATAATCAATATTTACGGTTTAATCTGTTATAGTTCTAGGAAAAGACACGTTTTTCTTACTTAAACAGATGTTAACCTACCTTAATTATTAACATAACGTAATAATAATAAAAAATTATCGTGTTTACTTTTACTTGTGCCGGCATGGCCAGGTGGTTAGGGCTCTCGACTCGTAATCTGTGGGTCGCGGGTTCGAATCCCCGTCCCACCAAACATGCTCACCCTTTCAGCCGTAGGAGCGTTATAATGTGACGGTGAATCCCACTATTCGTTGGTAAAAGAGTAGCTCAAGAGTTGGCGGTGGGTGGTGATGACTAGCTGTCTTCCCTCTAGTCTTACACTGCTAAATTAGGGACGGCTAGCGTAGATAGCCCTCGTGTAGCCTTGCGCGAAATTCGAAAACAAACAAACAATCACTTTTACTTATAGCGTGTAAATAGGTCATGGTTAATTATTGCCCCTTTCACTTCGAAGATTTGACTTAAACTGGAAAATATGATTCATCAAAGTAAGTAAAATTGTATAATTGGAACATTTAAATGTCAAGGTTGAAAGTGTGGATTTAATCTAAAGTGAAAAAAACAAACAAACAGTATTTTATTACAACGTTTAGTCTTCATTATATTATACCTTCACAACAGCCAAGATCTCCATTAAATCTTCCCAACAGCCTGTAAACCACAAGACTAATAATACAAACCTTTGGTTAAACTCCCCACGTGACAATAGTTTTTAATTAATTATATTAAGTAAGCTGTTTGACATATTTTAATCAAAAGTTTAAACTGACCACAGTCCAAGAATTTTGATAAAATGACTCCGTAAAGAACGCTGTTCTCTAACTTGTATGTAATTTTAACAATATAATAAACCTCTCCTCTATCGGATGGACCTGTTAATAGGTGATGCAAGTATGTAGTTATTTTGAGATAGGCATATAGTGTAAGGTTCTGATGTATAACTATTCTAGTTGTTATAACAGTACGAGTTTTACAGTATTCATAATTTTTTACTTTGCAATTAAGATGCTCAATTATGTTATATGCTAAACAGTAATGGTTAAGCTGTGAATCTGGTATACATGTGCTCTTTGTAAATTTGTACTGAAAGAACAAACTTGTGCAACTACAAAAGTTGATATTTCAGGTCAAGGAAAAAAAAAAGTCCTGTAATAGCGGCTTTGGTTTTAATGATTCTCATCCTGCATTAGGGAGAAACGCGCAACTAAAACAGGCTTTTCAAACAACCGCTTTAACTGGTTTTTCCACTTAGATCTAAAACGAGGCCCAAAACATCAAGTATTGAAAACGTTAGGACTATCTGTGACTTACGTCGACAGTGATGAACAGAAGTAGATGTTTTTGTTAAATTATTACTCAAGATTTGAACATGTTTCAGCAATTCTTGCACAAGACTTGAATATATGTTGTTATAATGTTTTCTTGGAACAGGCGTGTTTGGAAATGTTTTATCCTGGTGGAATTAATTTAACAACACGCTTTTATAAAACTTTAAACTGAGTTAGAGATATGCATAAATAGTTTCTGAATGTCACGAAAAAAATAGTACTCAATATTCATACTCGGCTGCTGTTTAAAAAAAGTATTGATGATGGTTTATCCTGAAAACTTTAGCACACTTATAAATATATTGAATATTATTTTAATAGCTGTAAAAAGAAAAAAAAGGTCCTGTATTACTTCAAAACAAAATTATAACGTGTATTTTCGTGATATTAAAAAAAGCTTGAGAGATGAAAAAATTACTCAGATCATAGTTTATAATTATATAATAGCTTCTATCAGAAATCTGATGAGAATTTACAATTATAATTCGTTCATTTTCAGAAAGTAGATTGTCCTTCTACTAAGTTGAGCTTTAAAGAATCAATATAACAAATATGTCATGGCGTGAAACTTGTATTCAGATGACATGTATATTCCTACTAACCAGTATCGCAACTTGACATCGGGGGAGTCTAAGGGGTCCGTGGAGTTGATCTAATCAGTAAGTGGAAGCTGTGTCCATGCTACTAATATGTTATACAGATGGTTTAACAGAATTTTTCTACATCGAATATAGTTCGTAAGTCAAGTCTTTGAATCAAGTATGAACGCTAATAGAAATACTGACGGATACCAGTGAAGGGCTGCTGAAAAATAAACTTAATTATTAACTTAATTTTTTTCCCGGGAAATTTAATTCCATTACATTTAACGATTATGCTCTTTAGAATTTATTATTTTGTTCTATAGTCATTGAAAAGAACACTTTAAGTGATTTTGAACAAGCTTATTCTCTAGTCTTATCACGAAAAAGTGAAATAAAAATGTAAAAAACTTTGTTTTGTTTACTTGTTTAACGGTTAAGCACAAAACTACACAACGGGCTGTCTGTACCGTGTCCCCACGGGTATGGAAATCCGTGTTTTAGCGTTATATGTCCGCAAACTGTGACACTAGGGGGCCATCGTGCAAAAACACGCTGTTACACTAGAAAATCTCGTAATACGTATTTAAAAAATATATTGTAAATACTAACATATACCACTAACTTAACATTTCCACATATACCACTATATAGTATATACCACTAACTTAACATTTCCACATATACCACTATATAGTATATACCACTAACTTAACATTTCCACATATACCACTATATAGTATATACCACTAACTTAACATTTCCACATATACCACTATATAGTATATACCACTAACTTAACATTTCCACATATACCACTAACTTAACATTTGTTAGATGCTAAATAATAAATTTATCATGTTATGATCACTCATCTGCCACACACACAGTAAAGTGAGAACGTTAACATATTATACTCGTTCCTGTCTAAAAGATGATAAACTCTTCCACTTATTAATTTGTTATCTTATTCGCTCATTAAAATGATATTCCGTTCATGCATGATCCTCGACATTTCTCCTTACTTTCAATTGTTTCTACTTTAATTTACTTTCGGGAAAGGAGGACGACAGATTAAAAGTGTGAGTTTTTGTATATATAGTAAGCTACTTAATATATAATTCTCAGTTTACAGATTTTTACCTCGACTCGAATTCTAGAGGAGTTATCTTGGATATTTTTTCCACGCGAGTCAGGTTGCGGCATATGTTGCAGTCAACAGGTGGCATGAAGGCGTTCTGCACGAGCGCGGGGACGTCCAGGGTACAAAACTCGTTGCTAGGGTTGGTATTTTCTAGATAAAACCACAAACGGCTGAATCCTTCCCGGGTATGAAGACCGAAATAAAGGAATACTCCCGAGGTAATCGCAGCAATTACAGCCCATACTCTCCAGGTGTTCGAAATGGAAACCTTTTTCGAGTGTTTCTTTTTTGTTAGAATTTTAATCGACTTCAACTTGCTCAACTGACGAGATGACACACCTGCAGCTGTTACCCGATTTTGTATCTCCGCGAATACAGCATGGGGATCGCGCCCTTTTGTCGTATTCTCCATTACTAAAGTGTAACCAGTTTTCCTCCTGCCGGTTTGTTAATGCGACTCCTACCCGATTAATCTCACGTTTTAAAAGGGGTCAACTCTACTTATAGGTGAACAATATGCTCCGAAGAGTACCGTCTTGACGTTGGCGCCCTCTGGTGAGCTGAAAACTGAAAGACAAGTTATTAATTTGTTTTTTTTTTAAGACATCAAATAATATATCATTTTTTTCCCTTGCCAGTTAAAAAAAAAAGGTAAACTTTAAAAATTATAATAACTAAACAACAGATGTCATCCGAATTAATGTTACTGCAAGTTTAAATAGGATTGGGTTTGGTAAAGTTAGAGTTGAAATTGGTTATAATTGTAAAATAACCAAGACCTTAAGATTCTTTCTATTCAATACATTATAAGTCGCCCCCCAGTGGCACAGCGGCATGTCTGCGGACTTACAACGCTAGAAACCGGGTTTCGATACCTGTGGTGGGCGGAGCACGGGTGGCCCATTGTGTAGCTTTGTGCTTAACTTAACTTAAAACATTGTAAGTCATCTTAAATCTCGAAAATTTTACCTTCAGTGGACACTAAACCAACAATATCAAATAGACATTTTAACGTACAAATATTTTCATACGTCTTACGTTACTTAATATTTTAATGTTTGTTTTTAAATATCGAAACTCTTCTATATATATATATATATTTATTATAATGTTTTTGATTGTCTTTCTCTCTCATTTTCTTCTCTTGCTACGTAGCGTTCGTCTTTTTTAATAACTGCATGTTATTATTCATTCTTTGCATTTTAATAATTTTATTACGTTTCGGATATTTTTATTTAACTTAAATCTTTTCTTTTATATATATTCCAAAATATTCCTCATTGACACACAGTCTCTATTGCGTCTTTTAATATTTGGAGCTCGAATCGTAATCTGAGGGTCGTGGGTTCGAATCCCCTTCCCACCAAACATGCTCGCCCTTTCAGCCGTGGGGGCGTTATAATGTGACGGTCAATCCCAC